CGTAAACATTTCCCTACACTTTAGTCCATAAAATTTTAGCAGCTTTCATAAAGTTCTGTCATGGATTTATCATAATTTATTTAGCCATTCCCCTATTAGGGTTGTTTTGAGGATAAAATAATATGGATAAAAGCCCTCATCATTTGGTAACATTCACTGTCTTTTAGTTACTAAACACTGTTATTCTTATTATCTACTTTTTTCAGGTTCTCTGGATACACACACACACACGCACGCACGCACGCACACATGCACATATGCACACAGATGAACATAGAGACAAAAACAATATACTTATAATAGTATATTGACTATGTAACCGATATCAACGTTATACTTTATTAAAGTATTGTTGTCTTTTAGATTCAGATATTGAGACATTTACAGGTGAGATGATTTTACATCTTGAATTTGCTTCAAAATCTGAAAAAAGCTGGCTCAGGAAGGGAGTAAATGTAGAGATGAAACGAGGCCACTTTGGGAGTTCTGTACTTTCGTGTATGTCTGAGCTTCTCCACAATAAAAAGTTTAAAAGGTGCATTAAAAATAGTTACTGAATAGCCTCATAGATTCATTCTTATTCAAGGAGACAGCTCTCAACTTAGTTTCATTTCTTTCTTCTGGAAGTCACCAATTCCAGTGATCTGAGCAGTAAGACTCATGTCATTCTGTTTTATGACTCTTGGAGTAGCTTGAGGTGGAAACAAAATAAATACAGTTTCTGAATTTCCTTTGTCTTCACCCACCTGGGAATCCTCTCTGAAACCCTGGGGGCCTTTTAAGTAACCGATGACCCAGCAACAACCATGAACCCTTCCCGCAGCCGGGCAGGATAAAATAGCTCCTTGTGTCCTTCTCTGCTGCATGAAGAAGGCATCGCAGCTATTAAATGCCGGTGCTGTGAGCTAGTGAATAATGAGCCTGTAACTGTGTATTTGGCATTTTGTGATCTGAGCCTCTGCCCAGTGTGAACTTGTAATCCTCACTGTGTAGCCTTGTCAGGTTTGGCTGAGGAGTTGCCCATTGACATAAGAGGCTGAGGAACTCCAAAGCCAGAACTGACCTCTGGGTATTTCAAAGTCAGGAGCCATAGGCTGACTTTTCTTGCCTTTTTATTTTTTTTAAATGAAGATAATGATTTATCCTGAGCGCAACAGCTGACCACGACCATACTGGGCTCTGTAACCTCTTCGGGCCTGTTTGACCAATCCTCTCAATGTTCTTCTCTTCCACCTGGATACAAGTCCGGGGAAGTACTGGGGTCCTCTCGCTCTAATTGCCTCTCCCGAAGCAGTTTCCCTGCTCTAGCTTCACTAAAGCAAAGGATTTGAACTTATAGTTCAGGATTCTTCTTTTCCCTCCGGAATCCATCTCTAAGGGGCAAAGCACATGGCTTTTTATCAGTTTAATTACTTTGGAGCAAAGGTCCCAGTGATGTTTATAGAATTTCCTCCCTTTCCCTAAAAATAAGACAGGCTCTCAGTTGGCCAGGGCAGCTCACTGAAATGCTCCTGTTTCTCTCCTCGGTTAGTACCTTCTGCCAGGACCTAGCTGGAGCTAGGCAGGAATAAGGCTTAGCGCCAGCTAAGCGGGGAGACAGGTGCTCAGACAGAGCCTTCCAGAATACAGTGCAGGGCGTGCTGTGGTAGAGATGTGAACTGGGCACTCTAGGGGCAGAGTTGAGTATCTGGGGACATCGGACAGACCTCACAGTAGAGGTGTGAGATGTCTGACCTGAGGACAGAACTGATAGCCTGGGATTGTATCATGTTCTTAATCAAACCCCCTTAGGGTCCCAATTTGAGGGTTTGTCCCATTAGATCGCACCTGGCGTGAAACCAGCAATGGCATTTCCTTCGGGGCTTGTACAGTTCTGAGAATTCCTAAGATTAGACTGAAAAGTCAGGGCTGAGGTGCCTCTGTGCCCTGGGGCATCCTATGCCCAGAATGAGTTGCACCACCTGTACCTCTGAGCTCTGTCTCCTGAGCTGTGCAGACATCTCTGTGCAGAGAGCATTGTGACAGGCAATGACAAAACTGATTGCAAAGCACTTTTTTCTCCCTGAACACTTCCTGCTCCCATGACGGCAGCTGAGTAACATGCAGTCAGACCTCTTACCTGGGGTGTTAGTCACAAGCTCTCTTGAGCAATCTCAGGTCAGCTCTTTAGACCATTGAGGGTTTCTGTTAGCACTTGTTTCTATTACCTGAGAATATCCTGTCCAAGCTCTTAGCAAGTTAGGCTTCGGGCAAATTCAGAAACTCAGTAACCTTGTTTGGCAATGTGAGGGAGTTAGAATGCTCTGAGCCGCTGGGCCAGACCATGGTGCTGATAAAGCCAGCCCAAGGCTCAGATCCCCCACAGCCTAGCTCTCTCCTGGGGTCCACAGACTATATATATATATGTATATGTGTATATATATATATATATATATATATAATCTATAACCTTGTCCAGCTGCCTGTAATGTGCCCTCAGTCCTAGAAGAGCCAGACAGCTAGGCACTAACAGAGCCTTGAGTCTGAAACCACTGCTGAACACCTGAGGGACAGCGCTCCCAGCATTGGCCTCCTTCCTGTGCACCTGACCACAGTCATCCTCAGCCCCACCCTGTGCTCATGTCACTCCACTTAAATAAGTCTTGCTCGTTTTATGGGGGCTGGGGGGGGAGTGGGGAAGGAAAGAGTTTCTACAGATGACAGTCTGCTGACAGAGCCGCTAATGTGGGAAGCAGGATTCTATGTGCAGCGGGAGTGGGAGGCTGCTTTGGGGACCGGGGCTGGGGCTGGTTTAGAGACGGAGAAGGCTCGCTGTCCTGAAGCAGACGCACGGGTACCCAGCACACCTTTGCCTCACACCCCTCAAGCCCAGGAAGACTGCGGCCAGGAGGAGCACAGGAGCAGAGGAGCTCTGGCCTGTGTTCCCACTGATCTGTGCCAAGAAAACTCTGCTGCTTTAACTTCCCTTATCGGGCATTCCTGGAAGACAGGGCTTTGTTTTCATTCCTGGTGTCCTACAGTGACCTCTCACTGCAAGACCTGTGTGGTCAGGCTGCATCGACTCCCAGGTCACAGTAGAAACCAGTCACATCAGTTCTGTCAGCACCTACCTCCTCCAGCTGAAATGTGATTCTAGGCTGACAGAGACCAGCCCTGTCCCTTGGGCCAAGCACGCCACCAGTGCAGAACCATGAGTGCCCATTGTGGAGGTGAAGCTGGATAGCAGTCAGCTGTGGCTACTGAAGATGCCCTGTGAGGGACACCATCACTCCCAACAGCATAGCCCAGGAGGCTGGGCCAGGGCAGCCCCCAGTCAAGCAGGGAAGTCACCCAGCATCCCACCTGGCTGTGCAGCCCCCTGCTTACAGATAAGCCTGCGAGGTTTGCCCCTGAATATGTCATTCCTTAGAAAAACAAAGCATAAAGGTGTCACTGGATAGGCCTGGCTGCTTCTCTCGTCCTCTCCCAGGTGAGCCTGGAGGCTGGCAATTGTGCCAGTGCCTAGGACTGTTTTCCAGCCTGCCTTGGTGCCTGAAGGTGCATGGTGCTAGGAGCCATGTTGGGCAGGGTGTTTTAGGACAGTGTCGCCTTTTATGTGCAGATGGTTTGATCAGTATCCAACCCTGTTCTATCTACGTTGAGACCCTTTACCAAATAGTTCTGCTGCTGGTAGAACCCACCTCCCAAGTGAGTTCTGCTCCTATGGGTCAGGGGAAGGGTGCAAGGTGCCTTTGTCCTGGGTTCACTATAATCCACTTGAGGCTCCTGTGTACCTGGGGTACAACCAAACCAACCCTGTTCTTACTCCTGTTTTTCCTTTCCCTGGTTACCAACATCCCTACTAATCCCCTGCATCTAAGAGGGAAGCACAAGAGTCCTCATTTCTGCCCCCCTCTCCCCTTCCATCTCCAAGTAGTCGTCAAGCCTCGTTTCTGGTTGTGTTTTCACCAAAGCACTGCTGACAGACCACTCACTTTCCAATCCATTTGTCACTGTCCTTCCTGGTGCAAGTCCTCACATCTCTTCCCTGGACTGATTCAGCTGCCTCTCACTAATCTTTTCTGTTCAGCTGGGATCCTTTACTCCCTTCATCAGAGAGCTTCGACGGATCCCTTTCGCCTAATATCTAAATATCTGAGTGTGGCAGTCAGGGCCCGTCTTAATACAGACCTACCTTTCCTCTCCAGCCCTGGCATTTGATGGCTCCAGCGTTCCCTCACTGCCTCTCCAGCCTCACTATACCAAGTGAAGCTCCTGAGCCTCCCCGCACATCACACCTCCCTCCCCCAGCCCATCCATCCGCCCGTGCCGACCTTCTCACACCCCCTCCCTGTCTGGAAGATGACTTCTGTGGAACTGTCCCTCTCCTCCCACTGGAAGCAACTGATTGTTCCCTCTTGTATTTCTCTCATAGCACTTGGCTCCTACTTCTATCATGCCACTGGTATTATACGGTAGTTGGTTCTCTCTCCTTTTATCGAGTGCACTACGCTAGGCACAGTGGGGAGCCGAATCAACCCGATGACTCCTTCATAGGTTTATAGGTTAGCAAATATTGGTTTCCCCGTTACACGGTGAGTTCCGTAAAGATAAAGATCCTCTGTACTCTTGATGCCTATCACAACCCCTGGCACATAGTGGCCACTTGCTCCATGGATGGTCACGAAGTGAACTCCAGTGGGCAGAGATAGATACTGGAGTGGAGGGACAGGGTAGGCGGATGTCTTATGGGTACAAGGTAAGTGGGAAACCTGGAAAAGTCACATTCTGTCCTCAGTTTCTAAAGGGCAGCCCACTTTTTATATGTGGTTAGCCCATTCATATGGAACCATCATCTAGGGACCACGAGGCCAATTTTGTGAGTCGATCTAAATTTTTTATCTGGATAGCTCAAAGAAGTGTGTACGCATGGCCACTCTGTGGTCTGATCACCCGTCCCCTGAGCCAGCTCGCCCAGGTGGACGGTTTGGGGCCCACCTGCTGCTCCTTGTATCTTTCAGAGATCTGAAACTGGACAATGTGCTGTTGGACCACGAGGGTCACTGTAAACTGGCAGACTTCGGGATGTGCAAGGAGGGGATCTGTAACGGCGTCACCACGGCAACCTTCTGCGGCACGCCCGACTATATTGCTCCAGAGGTGAGTGCTTTGGAAATCTGAGCCCTACATAACCCTGATCAGAAGTGCCACAGGTTGCTTTTGTGGGCGGCAGCTCTATGGGCGGCGTTGAAAGCTGATGCCTCCAGCCTCCTTTAATGGCTCATTGGCTGAATGACGGCTGAAAATGTCTTCAGTTCCTCTAATTAAGAACTGGAGTCAAAAATATTTTTGGCAAACTTTGCAGTTGTTGCTAGGCTTTGGCCCTGAGTGAGGACAGAGTGTGCTCCACGCACCGCTACTTAAGTTTCTTCTTTGTCTCTGCTCAGTGCTTGGATCCCAGCCCCGGGTACAGAGGTAAAGACTAGCTCTCGAGTCTCCCCACCTGGGTGAGCGAGCCCAGTCTCCTCCCCTCACATAGAGGTAGATCCCAAACCCTCTCTGTTCCGGATCGGCACTCGCCCTACCTTGGCCTAAGCAGCCCACAGATGTGTGGCCACCTGGATGAGAAGGGGCCTCTGTGCTGACCACAGGGAACACAGGCCACTCGAGAGAGCAAGTGGAGCATGCGTGCCGGCCCAGGAGACCGCTTTTCACTTTGATGGTTCCGATCTATTATCTCCCCTAGTTATCAAGCACGCGTTTGTTAATCAGATGCGCGGAGCGCTTCTCATGGTGGCCCCCCCCCCCCC